TTGCCATCCAATCTGAAAATCTCACGGGAAAAAAAAAAAAAAAAAAAAAAAAAAAAATCTCACGGCCCTACTACTAGTGTAACCACGTTGGAAAATACACGAAACATAAAGGAAACCCCCGCTAGTGGGTCACGGCCCTAGGTCCATAACGGCTCCGTACCCAAGGGAAAAATGTATAGATTAGCACATAATGTGATCCTTTAGGGCCTCGCCACACCAGTGTGCACACCACTGTCAAAAAGGTGGTGAAAAATAGGGCCTAGTTGCACTACTCGCCATAGTATTACGTCAAATTTGGCGAATAGACGAATAGGCGCCTGGTTGCACTTACTCGCCAAACTTGGCGAATGCAAAATGTGTCAGACGGCTCGCCACAACGTCAACATAAGTTGTGAAGAGTGTTTCAAGTTTCCCCGCCTATGCACGGCGGTTTGTGGAGGGTGGTCCTCGGACCTCTCCACAAAACAACTTTCTGGAGAGCGCAGGGCTTCACGAGTCGACATCAGGTACAAGACAAAAAAATTTAACTGTTCTGTAGAAGAAATCTAATGGCGAGTAAGTGCAACCAGGCCTCGAGTTCGGTACGCTTTTCATTTTTTTTTCACTCTCCACGCATCCGCCATGAATTATGACGGATGGCGAGTAGTGCAACTAGGCCCATATTCGACAACTGTTAGACCATTTTCGACATTCACCACACAAAGACCGCCTTCGCCACACCGTATGTCGAAGACCCAGGATACGAGAAGTTTGGTTGTTAGAAAAGAGGGGGAAAAAAAAAAGAAGAAGAAGACACGGGATGTTGAGGCGTAGATGTAAAAATCCGCACATCCTTCACGACCTCGTTTCCACGATGTTGAAACTCGACCTGCTACAGGCGGGACTTTCGACACCCAGGAGGACATAGGGCCTTCAAGTTGCTCCACTGCTCACCAAATTGACAAAATGAGAACGTCAGATCTTCCCCTAGAACAGGGGGGAGATACACCCCCAATTTTTTTTGCGCTTTCTGCACGTAGTGAGTAGTGGAGCGAGGCCCACAATGTGCCAAACTCGTAAAAGTAGAATCCTCAAAGATTGCCAGCATCACCCTAAGCTTCTGTCCCGTCCATACTCGCCTGACGCATGTACCGCCCGACTGAGCCTATACCTGTCGAGGAAAATACAGATGTCAATTGGACTCTATTTTCTTTTTTTCACCTAGTAATCCCAATGTGACAGGGTTGGTTCACCACTGTAGAGAGATCTGGTTCAGCCGCAGGAACCACCCATCTTGGCACATACAGATTAGGTTGGAGAGGAGGGGGGTAGTGCACATTCGAGCTTGTGGGCAGGTTGTTGCGTCAATGTTGACTATGACAGCATGGGGCGTGGGTAGTAGGGTACTGCAGATTCGGACTTGTGGGCAAGTTGTTGGTCGTGCCAGCAGGTGGTGTGGGTAGTGCGGATTCAAACTGGTGGGCAGGTTCAAACTCTAGAACCTATGGTCCCGGTTAGACTGCAAGGGACCAATGTCCATGGATCTTCTCAGATGACGTTTGAGGCCCGAGGAGTTGGACCAGGTAGATTGTGAGGAAGTCAGGTGAGGGCCGAGCGTCTGGGGCTTAGTCGCAAGTCAGCGGACCTAGGTTAGGGTCTTGCGCGGACTAGTTGTAGTTGATTGCCATCTCCATAGAAAGAGAAGTAGTAGACTCCGAGAGTGCTGCCACCTCCATAGTGACTGAGATGTAGATGTTGCGTGATGTTGGAAGCTGGAACGAATATTAAAGGTATGACTGTGACGCCCAACCTCACGCCCGACGCGACTTCCTGATCGGAGTGGAGTGTGGGCCTGGAAGTGCGAAAAGGGGTGTGCCAAGGATTTTTGGGGGAAGTGGGGGAGTCTTAAGGATATG